CGACCTCTAGCTCGCTAGCAAGCTCTATCTCCGCCTCTAGATGCAATGCCTTCTATTTCGCACGATCCTCCGCCTAGTACAATATTTTCTTGTCGCGTATGAGACGCGCTAGGACCGCCGCTAGCTCCTCTTTATCAACCTCAACCTTCTTCTAGTACTCCTCTCGAGTACGATCCAAGGAAGCCTAAGATATGTTCACGTACTTGCGACCAAGGCGAACGTACGCCGAGCAGCGAAGATTGGATCCTAAACCTATAATGATGCAATTGTAGTTGTTTAAGAAACAACGCTCGCAGGCAAATGTCGAAGAATGACCGTTCCTTTGGATCTAGGAAGCAAGACGAAGACGATTGCGAGTAGCCGAAGAACTCATCGTCGGATAACGAACTTAAACACGCGGAATCTACGGGAACTTATACCTAAAGCCCTACTTACCCCGCGATACTAAGTACCGCGTAGGAACGACAAACACCGACGCGCCCGACCCTAGGACATAAGTTACCTAGGCGAGAGTATACAACATTAACAAGACAAAACCATAAGGACATAGTAGCTCGAGGGAGGGAATAATGTTACGGACACTCAAGAAGCGACTATAACAAACACAACCCGAGACTAATACAGCGTTGTACTAAGGCCAAGGACGGCTTAGCTACGTAACACGACAGGTATAGGAGATTACTCGATCACGACGTAATCTAGCGACTCGACTCGCACTCACTACTAGTAACTGCGATCCATATCGCAATTACTAGCAGTAACTACGATCACTACGGAACATGAATCTCCTTTGTATATATCGCGATAGATCTCTACATAGGTAGTTCGTGTTCAACTTATGTTTCAATCCAACTAAAAGGTCTTCGTATACTAACGCTTAGTAATTCACTTAGAGAGGTTCATTAGGTTTTACTAACATAGAGAGAAGTATTCCCACACCCGTGTCTTGACACTAACTAAGCCTACCGAGCTCTACTACATCGAGACAACTTTGTTAGATCGCAACACTTAGCTACCTATTTACGACCTCTATAAGCATTATAACGACGACTATACCTAAAGCTACACGACACGCTATAGCTAATAGCGGGCTTGCTCTTAATAAATACTAGTGTAACGTGTTCTAATAATTACAACAGCCGATAGCGGGCTTACTTTTAATAGGTTCTAATATAAACAGTAGTAGTATAGCTTACGCGTTAGGGTATAACGTAGGCAATGTCGGAATAGAGGCAGAAAAGGCTAGACATCTTATAAGCTTATTATCTAACTCCGTAGCAACAATTTGAGACTACTTTAAGCTTTATACTAGTGATATTAAGCTCGTAATAGCGTGTCGGCAGCATTTAGCTATAGTATAAAGTCCAAATTCGCGTTTTTTAGTATAGTAGTAAATGTTTAGCCTAGACTATACACAGCCCAATGCCCCGATGCGGATTAGTGTAGGTCTAGGCCTACTTTGCTGCGTCGAACGTTATAGGTTTTCACCGAGACAAGCGATCCCGTCTCCGTCTTACTCCCGCCACGTTACTACATGGACATGTATCGTTAGTCGGAACGCAAGGAACGTTTCCTATCTGTCCCGACGCTGCTAGAAGTCCGAAACGCTGTAGTATGGCTCAGTCAATGCTTTGGGATGGTCGTCACTCATCACTCTGCGGCTGACACTGCGACGGCTTCTTGGGGGCGTGTGAAGGGTGTCAACGCGGATCAGTCTCGGTACGGAAGTTCATTCGATATAATGATCATCTTCTTCGAAGCTGTCAATTCACCGTCAGAATTGTCGAAAAGTTGGCAAATCCAGATTTGGCCTAGTCCGCACCCGATTTGATTAAAGACGCCAGGGTCTTGACGCCAAGATCCGACTGCCTGCTTGGCTTAGTGGTACAGCGTCTCACTCGTACGCACGACGCGATGAGAAGATCCCCCGTTCGATTCGGGGAGTGGGCAACTTTTGGACCTTCCCTGGGCTAAGGGGGGGGGGTGGTAGACCTCTCGTCGCCAAGGGGTGGGCAGTGGTGTTGAATACGTTGGCGGGGGGGCGCTGTTACACTCGCTTGGCGCGCTTGACCTTGGCTTAGTGGTACAGCGTCTCACTCGTACCGCGAACATGAGAAGAGTCCTTGTTCGATTCAGGGATGGAGCAGTTTTGGCCTGCGCCAGAGTGTGGAGAGAAGTTGTCGGCCTGAGGCGCTTGGGCGCTTAGCTCCTTCGTTCGATTTGGGGTAAAACCCCCAAGTGGCCTACTCCAACAATACCAGTATTCACTCAGCATCGTGCACTTCTTTTTAGCGATCAGAGGGATACATCTACACGACTTCGTACAGGATGTGCGGGCATCTGGTCGTCTTGATAAGCTGCCCAAAGTCAACGAACCGAGGCGATTCCCTTCGGCCTGAACATGAGAACGGCGATGCAACCATGAGAAGATGGCCACGCAACATCATAGCACATTGCTCGAACGCCTAATGCAGTTGTGGATGATCTGAAGACAGAATCTGCGATGTCACCCCCCAGGTAGGAGATGGATCAGCATGGACAAGGACGGCAGTAAGCATTAGCTCGATCACTACGATGCGGCGACGCTATGAGCCGCTTGCCTTGCTCAGGTCATCGACGCGCTCTCCTACGGACTCTAGTGAGCATTAAACAGCGCATAGACTCGGCATGATAAGGCCTGTCCAGGATGGACGACCCAACAGCCTGCTCGAGAGCGAGATCCTTACTCGGAGTACGGGTTGGACGGCGGCGGTAGGGGTCAGCTCATGTCGTGCGCGACTGTGTCGACAGCGTCTGTTTAACGCTGACTGGCACCCCCGACTTGGATTAGTAGTCGTACGTGATCACCACTCAGCCACAGCTGGCAGAGCAGCACCAATTGCCGGATTGAGTACCTCCCCAATAACACTCAGAACAACTCGTGCGGCTGAGGCGAACGAGTTTGGACGATTTGTACGACCGCAATGCATACATAAGCTGCCGTCTGCCGAGACCGACAGCGTAATGCCCTTGGTCATTGCCACTGGCCACAGCCATGCCCAAGCCCACCATTCTATTCGTCCCCGGCGCCCTGACCGCACCGTCGTGCTACGACTATGTCGTGCCGCTGCTCCAGGAACAAGGATACTCGACGGTGCAGACACCGCTCCCTAGCAACAACCCCAAGGATCCAAGCGCGCACACCGCAGAGACGGACGGCCAGGCCTTGCTGCAAGAGGCTCTCCTCCCACTGCTCGGCGAGGGCAGAGATGTCGTCGTCTTCGCGCATTCATTCGGAGCGACGGCGATGAGTGGCGCCAAGTCCTCCGTGACCAGGGCCGAGCGGGAAGCGAGAGGCGAGAGTGGCGGAGTCGTCGGGGTCATCTACATCTCCTGCTGTCTCGTACCCGATGGTCAAGACCAGATCACGTATCTCGGCGGAGCCTTGCCGGACTGCGTCAAAGTTGACACCGTGAGACGGCCCCACCTTGCAGTTCGTGCTCATGTTGACCACACCGCACAGCCTTCTCCCGGACTCTTCGTCTTCGACCCCATCATACCCTTCTTGTTCAACGACGCCGAGCCCGCCGCGGCGGAAGAATGCGCCAAGTCTCACTTGCCACACGCGATCCAGCCGCTCGCCACGCCCGTCTCGGCGCCGCTCTGGACAGACTCAGCACTGGAGGGTCGGCGAGCATACCTCAAGACCACCCTCGACACCCTCTTCCCGCCCGAAGCCCAACAGATGTTCATCGATAATTCGCAGGTGGCTTGGAATGTCGTCGAAGTCGACGGCGGCCATGAGGCGTTCATCACCAAGCCGAAGCTGGTTGCGGATGCCGTCGTCAGGATCGTCGAGTGCTGGATATAGCTCTGATCGGCTTCGAGATGCGAATTGGGCTTGGTCAATGGCGCCATACAGCGGTGTTGCGCTTTATTTGCAGTTCGAGCGATGGTTCGAGCGATCATCATCACTCCTCCGGATAGACCATCTTCCTCGTAACGCCGCCATCAACCACCATCTCCGTCCCAGTAGCGAACCCAGCAGCACTGAGGTACTCTACCGCCTGTAGAACATCTTCCACTTTCCCTACTCGGCCCGTCAAGTGCCACCTGTGCTCCTCCTCGCTCAGCCCATCCGCCCACCCCTCACCATTCTCGTCCGCCTGTTTGCACTCATCCGACACATTGATCCAGCCCGGCAGGATCGCATTGACGCGGACGCCCTGGGGCGCGAGACTGACCGCCATGGACTGCGTGAGACCCAGTAGAGCAGCCTTAGTCGCAGAATACGGTTCATTATTCGGTTCGCTCATGAACGCGCGCGTCGAGGACATGTGGATGATGCAGCCCCCGCGAGGCCTCTCATCGGTCTTCGAGAGCATGGGCAGACAGCCCTGGCTCATCAGCATCGGAGCGGTAAGGTTCGTGGCCAGGGTGCTGGTCCAGTCCTCCAGCTTGAGATCCGCCAAGTGGGAGCCACCGACGCCACCGGTATCAGCCGCGTTATTGATCAGGACGTCCAGATGCCTGTTGAAGAACGCGCTTGCTCCCCTGATGGCGGCGCTGATCTCGGCCGGGCTACGAAGGTCGCAGACTGCGATGTCGAAGTCCCTGCCCCTGGCATGGTCTCGTGACAGTTGCGATACTGTATGCGACAGCTCCTCTCGGTTGACGTCAATGAGGAAGACCCGGTGGCCTTTCTGCAAAAGTAGCCGGCTGAGACCTCGTCCGATTCCTCGACCCGCGCCTGTGATGAGGTAGTTCATGCCTTGGTAGGTAGCGAAGGTCTGCGCTCGCGGTGTTGTCCAGGTGTTGGTATAGAGGGCGCAGGTCCTCACTCTCAACTGTATGGAGAGGTCCACCTCTCATGATGTCATACTAGAGGGCGCTATATCCCAGTGGGTGTTGGCGTGGGTGGCTAGCTGGCGGTGGATGTCGTATTGAAGATTTCAAGGGTCGAACCACGGAATGGGCCGGCGTTATAATATCGACATGAAGCTATATACAAGCAGTACGTAACAATCGACTCCCCTGACCTCCTTCATACACTACAACTTCGACCTCAACTCCGGCCGGAAGCTCTCCTTCGGACCCACAAGCGGATCGTAGATATCCAGACCCAGCGTATCGGAGGGCACGCCGGTAGTGTGCATGCTCAGCCCCCTCGTATCGACCAACTCCGGACTCAGCTGGTCCACACTGGAGCACCCGATCAGACGCATATTCATCTCCATCTCGTCCTTCAGCAGCTGCATCGCGCGGTCCACGCCCGGCAGACCGTACGCGGACATGGCGTACAGGAACGGGCGGCCGATACCAACGCCCGTCGCGCCCAAGCAGAGGGCCTTGATGATGTCCGTCGCGCGGCGGATGCCGCCGTCGACGTAGATCTCGATCTTGTTGTCCAGGCCCAGCCGTCGCAGCTCCGGCATGACCTCGGCGAGGACTTCGATGCCCGAGCGGGCGAAATCCAGTTGCCGGCCGCCGTGGTTGGACAGGACGACGCCCTGCACGCCGGCGGCGATGGCGCGGATGACATCCTCGACGCGCTGGACACCCTTCAGCAGGATGGGCATCTTGGTCACCGAGAGGAACCACGGGATGTCCTCCCAGCACAACGCCGGGTCGATGAAGGAGGAGATGGCGCGGGCGGCGCCCTGCGAGCGGTCCACGTTGTCGCCGCCGGTGTTCTGCACGTTTGAGCCCACGTCGGAGAACTTCGATCGCATGTCCTTCTCTCGTCGGCCGAGCTGAGGCGCGTCCACGGTGATGAACAGGCCCTTGCAGCCCCGCTTCTCGGCATGCTCGATGATGCGCTTGGTGATGGCGCGGTCCTTGTTTACGTAGAGTTGCAGCCACTGGACTTGGTCGCCTTCCCTCTCGTCGACGATCTCGTCGAATGAGCATGATGCGAGTGTCGGAATCATTTGGATGACGTTGTGTTTCCGTGCGCCGCGCGTGAGCACGACCTCGCCCTCGGGGTTGCCCAGCTTGCCCAATGCAGTGGCCGTCACGTAGAAGGGGATGTCGACTTTGGTCCCGAGCATCCTGGTGGAGAGATCGATCTTCTCCACATTCACCAGGATTCGCGGCCGGAACCAGATCTTGTGGTAGGCGGAATGGTTCTCTCTCAGTGTCTGCCCGAGTCGTTAGTCCTCATCCATCTATCACGAGTGCTGTTCGACTCACAATCTCGTCATCTGCACCGCTGGAATAATACGCCCAAGCCGTCTTCTTCATCACCCGCTTCGCCACCGCCTCAAAGTCCATCAGGTTGTAGCACTGCTCCAGAATCGGCATCCGAGCGATCCGCTCCTGCCTCTCCTGCTCATCCGGGTCCTCCTCCTTCTTCTCCTCCTCGACGGTGCTCATGTCCACCTCGCCGAGGTGCTTGCTCTGATCGAGATACTTGTCCAGCGTGTCCGGCGGGTGGATCGGGGCGTACTCCTCCGTCGCATCCTTGCCGGCGTACTTGAGGATGATCTTGGGCCCGCCGGGGTGCTCGGGCATGAACTCGGTGACGTCGTAGGCCCGGCCGTGGATGATGACCCAGCAGGACTCGCGGTTGTTGTGCTTCGCTACATCGTCGCCCGTGAGCTTGACGGCCTGCGTGTCATTGGAATCGTGATTCATCTTGTCAAGCCTGTGGAGGTGATTCAATAGCGAACGAGAAGCTGGTGGAACAAAGAAGATTATGTGGGAATAGTACAATTCCCTGACATGTAAGTTTGTACTCTACATGGTCCAGATCAGTGGCGTCGCCGCAGATTCTACGACCGCGGCGGCACCTCGTCTCGGAGGAGAGGAGGTTGGCCTCCCCGCAATGGGGATGTGGAGTGTGTCTTGGCCAATGAAAGGACATGTGATGAGCCGCACTGCCGCAGCATCCGCAAAGATGGGAAGGTGTAGCGGGATCGGAATTTGGACTGCCCCAAATGCGATTTGGGAATGCCACGCGTGATTGCTTG